CTTAAGTACAATGAAAAGGTAGTTATGATAAAAGAAACGGAACAGACTAATAAAGTACAGAAAACAAATTAAATAGATATGACAAATGATGTAAATAATAATGATAGTGGAACTGAATTTGCATGTCAATGTCTATAAACAAAATGGAAAATTAATACCAAAGAAATGATATTAACCGCTGAGTGAAGAAAAGGTAGTCTTAAAGACACCGAGTGTTCTTGCATTGCAGACATGAGGAGGAAGTGAGTTCCAGAGGACTGCACCGGAAGAAGAAAGCGATCTCCTTTTCAATAGACACGGGAAATGGCCAGTAATTAGCAGCAGCGATATTTCCGACCAAATTTGCTTGGTGTACCAAGTACTGACGTTGACTCACTTGAAATGTACCAGTTTGTTTTACCACCAGACCCCCGTTGCCATGGCAACGGCCACTATGACCGCCGCCTATGGGACTTAGTAGGGAAGTGCCACCGGCCCGAAGCCGCGCTCACCCCCACCCTGACCCCCACCCCCATCTACCGTAAACAAGCCTTACACTAAGTAAAAATCATTCTAAAGGTTAGAGTAGGCACAAATGATCACCTTTAACAAGAAACAGACGGCCAGAATACCGGACAATGGCCTCTCGTACGGGCCTTGTACGGTGCCTAGCCCAGTACGGCAGGTGCCAAAGTGCAACGTTGGCAATATCTCAGCAACTGTTAGGACTTATGGCATAAAATTTGGCCAAGTTTTACATCTTGTCTAGTTTTGTCGAATGACCGAAAGAAAATCCAACGCCAAGTTGGCTCAACTGTTGCGCAATAAAGCTGTCATTACATTAATCTCATGGAAGAATTCTATTAGCTGCATTTCTTGCCCCCGTGCTCATTTAATGGAACAGCCCGCACTGCAAACGGGTCAGAGGTTACCGAGTACAAAAGTTACTGAGTAGCTGTGCTGTGTGCTTGTGCTCGGCACAAGTAGATTTTACAGGTTTTATCTTCTTTTTATAAGCTAGGCAGACAATAACTTGAAAATTTGTGGCATTTGCTAACTAGCTTTCTTTCAGAAATGAAGCTAAGGGGGAAAGTAGCTCTTGTAACTGGAGCAGCGCAGGGCCTTGGGCGAGGATTCACGGAGTCCATGCACAGTGCACGGGCAGGTCGTTGATCGGTCTGACTTGGGGCGTATAGAAGTCTGGATCGAGTCGTTTATTTCGCACGACCTAATCACGATTGTCATAACGACTGAAACACGACTGCCATTCTGAATGTATCAAGTCCCATTGACCGTATTACCACCATTTAACGATCTTTATACGACTCTGGTCGTTAAATAGTCGTGAACAGTCGTATTTTGGTCAACGTTGACAGGAGAGGTCAAGAGGTCAGGATAACGTTACGTATTATAATCCTGATGACCGAAATATACACAACATATATCAGTCATATGTGTTATTTTTCTGGTCCATTTCTTATGCCTTTTTAATCATGTCTTGGTTCATCATTATGAGGGCCTGCATGGGGGGTTCTGGGAACGCTGAACGCTACATTCAGGACGGTCGTTAACGCTTCATCTGTAATTTTTTTTTTCTTTTTCTTTCTTTGTTTCTTTCGCATAAGCTGGTAAACCACACCACAGGACACTACAGCTCATGAGGCACATAAGAACAATACTCGTTGTATCCTCCGACGGTTTGTTTCAAATGTTGAATGATGATATTGAAATAGATGTATCAAATATATCGTACTTTTTTCCTATTAAGTTGTTTTCATTTCTTTGTTTTTTCACCAGAATTCTACACAATATTTTTCTACTCTCCTGTGCTTCACCCTGCCCAGATCGCCCGACTGGAGGTAACAAAATAAACACTCAGCACGCCGCCATCGGTGATAGGACCCACGACAGATTTGGAGATCTCGCACTATAAAGTTGTTTTTTTTTTTGCTCCGCGGTACGCAGGACGCGGATATCTCGCGTAATTTATCGAGACGCCTATCCCGAAAAATCCTCAAAATTCCGCAGCCCGATGATGCATATATCCCGTGACGTTCTCTTTCTAAACATAATACGTATAATATATGAAACATATCGTCATTTTTTGTATGAGCATGTTTTCATTTCTTTGTCAACAAGGATAAAGTAAGGACACCGAGACAAGGTTTCCTATGCACTGTACATGTATTCACCAATCATGAAAGCAAAACAGAGAAGAAAAATAACATGTGTACATCACACACTTTATAATAAAGAAATGGTAATGATACAATACTGGTAGTAAAATTTTTGTGTTTTTTTGTTGGTCTAACATGCATTTCCAAAGCTATATGCTAGAAGTTTATTATATTGCAGTCAACATGAACAGCGAATCGTCTTTTGGTTATGTTAACTTGAAAAGTTGTAAGTTGTAAGTACAGTAAAGAGCTGTCTGAAAGTAACGTTGTGTACAATTTTGGTGGAAAAATCATGAACATTGTCCTAACACGTAAAATCCAGTGTAATAAATATAGAATACAAC